GTTTTCCCACAACTACGGTTACTTTAGTAATTAGATACACATATAGTTTCTCCTAAGATTTGGTACGTCTCAATATGGAATACGTCGTGTTTCAGTGGTTGATCGCGGAATAGAGCGTACGCAGCAAGTGTTCAATGAGTTTTTCAATGATGAAGCCACGGCATTTGTAATGACGGCCGATCATGGAATGACGGATTGGGGATCGCATGGAGCGGGAAGTGACGACGAGGTAATGTTGGAACTTCAATTGGCTCTCCTTACCAAACGTGCGGTCTGAGGAGTGAATCTCGGCTCGTACGCTTTTTAGGTTAACCAAGCCGCTACCCTTCCGGGGTCGTTTACTTTGTACCGTTTCTGGGAAAATAATTACATTGGCTCACCCCGCAACTCAATGTATAGACCAAATCGCCTTTAAAGGCTTTTACGACGGTTCGATTCTAAATGGGGGTAGGGTGCATGGCGTATGTCATTTAGGTGTTATCTCATAAAATCTAAAATAGTAGGCCGCAGTCGCTCTGAGCTCCCCACGAACTAGGATTTGGTCCTCGCGCTATGAGCGTGGTAAATCCGCGCCACTTGCTACTATACCACTTGCCCATGAGAAAGGATAATGCGTAAGTCCCGAAACGTTTATGAAAAAGATCCGCCAGAGTTGATCAGGCTATGTCACATCATTTGCAACACAGTGTTATCAGCTATTCCAGAATTGGCGAAGGGTCAAAATTTTGTGCAGCAGTTTTCTTCTTTCATGAATCCTGTTACAGGTGTTGACTCCATTTGTCGCATGGGGAGCAGGATTGCAGAAAGGAGGCGCGACGAGTACTATTTCTCAGGTGCAGCGACATGTCACAATCAGTGGTGCTATAATTTTTACGAAAAAATCTTCCAGGTTGATCTCACACCATTGCTTGCTTCGCTGATCGGAGTGGCTGTACCTGTTAATTCCATGGGTATACTTCCTATTCAAGTACTTGATGTTTCGCCAAATTACATGTTCAAAAGCAGTCTTGCCAACTTTTTGCAGGTAAAGTAGCATTTATGTTTCCGAAATCTAAATTCAAAAAAATATCATCGTTATATCATTTTTTAAATATCGTTTAGCTCAAAGAGCAGTTTTTGGTGCTGAGAGCAGAGAAAGCGAAACGTCTTTGGTTTCAAGAGTTTGGAACGTTCGGCTTGAAAGCGTTGGAATCTTTGGAAGTGGAAATAATGAAGCTAGCAAAGTTACGGTAGGTCTATTTGGCCTTGTAACGTACAGTCTTGATCTGTCACGAATCTGCAGAGATCAAAACCATTTCCAGCCGATTCGCTGCTGCTTCTTCGTTGTTTGTGGAGAATGCGCCTTATATAAAGAAAGCTATATTCCACTATCATCGCTACGACCGCGCATTTCTTGGCGCGGCTATAAGCTGCTGTTTCATGGCATGGATAGCGCTGGTGTGGTGTTATCTCACGAGGTTTGGGTTACTGCAATACAAAAAATGACTATTCCGGTACTCTCATGGTCAGATGTTGGATTCCAGAGATCGATCCGTGCCTATATTCACACGGAAAACATTGGTTCCAAATAGGATATTCTCTGGTTTACTTGCTTTTATGGTGGTTTTCTGCCTGTACTGCAGACTACCGTTGACGAACTGGTTCTACTTGTTACTGCCGCTATTTCTACTCTCTGTCATTGAAAATGTACTCAATGTAACAAACAATGTCTGTGCTTTCATTGGCTACTGCGTTGCCAATTACTCGACTGTGTCCTTCTCGTTTCTGCTTCAACCATTTCTTCTACTTATTGGAACAAGTGAGTTAATAGGTTATCAGATGCGGTGGACAACTGCTATGTGTGCTTTTTCTTTGAAAGTTGACCATGTTTCTTTTCAGGTGTTCTCCTTTTCATATACGTTATCATATTTATGGATCGTAGGTTTCTGGCCGCCTTGTTTATTTTGTTGACGCTCGTGCCGAATTTATACAGCTCAAAAGTAGCCGAGCAATGGTTAGTCACTCTTATATGTTGACTTTATCACTATTTTTGCATGCGGGGCAATATGGCACATTGTCATGGTGCCCATAGTTTTTTTTTCATCTTATAGCAGGCTTATTCAGCAAATGTTTAAGTAGGGTGGTGACGGCTCTGTCCAGTGTCTATTTATATTTGTTTTTGTTGGTGTTTTCATCATTACAATATCTGTCGCCGTGCCTAGATTAGCAAATTCTTGGCTGAAGCTCAAGGGTTTGTTATATGGCTTTGAGGGATCCCTGGAAAGGCATTAGAAATTCGATAGTTGATCCGTTTGTGTTGTGCGTCCGACTTCTTTCCAATTGTAGTTATTTTCAACTAGAGAACGGCACCTGGCTCGGCTCCAACTCTAAAAGAAAGGTGGAAGCCCTTGGACTAAGCCTTGGAGGGGAGGGACTCCGGGTGGGTGAGCCAATTACAGTGTGGCAAAAGTTTGAATGTGTGAGATCACAGCAATCATAAGTTCAGGCGAGAGAGCGCAGGGGGGAGCACCAAACTGAGGCGGTTCAAAGGACCGAGTTCAAATAGTCCATCGACAGTTAGGGGCGGGGTCAGACGTACAGGCAGTGTTTTCACTCAAGAGACCTGAATTCGAAGTAATCTAGGGAGGAATTAAAGGCTACTCCGATCTAATCATAACGTGATAAGATTGCAGATCATGACTGATTGTATTTAAATTGGCTGATTTTTGCTAGTAAAAAAAATCCAAACACAAGTTGCAAATCCCCGTGACGGTGAATGAAGGTCGAGAGTATGGCGTTACATAATAATAAATCACAATATTTTACACGTCTGACGTTAAGCGCAACATAATGAATTCCAGTAGAGTTCCCTTCATTACTTGAACGCCTCCAGAAGTTGTTCAGCAGCTCCTGGTTTCATAAGTGTAGTGCAGCTAAGTAAGCCTGTAGTGCTTACCGATTACCCTTTCAATACGCATTATCTTCGGACTGCCTTATATATTTAGTATTTCAGAATCTTACGAGATTGAGCATACCATTTTATAGGGCAAGGGTATGGCAGTTTACCTGTATTGCACTTCTGCTGTTTCCTTTCCTTCCTAATGTCGGCAAATCTGAAATACCTTTGTTGTGTATTGGAGCACCTCTGCTACTAGCCATCGTATTACGGAAACTGTCTCGACACTACTTATTGGAGAGAAAATCTAAGGATTTGTGCAACCTATCACTGATGTTGGTCGTGACAGCTGTGCTGATTCTGGCGTCATCTTACTTGTTCCAAAAGGTGGTTCTTCTCTTTTATTGCTGATTAAGTTTTTTTTAATTTGCTGCTCTCTTTTCTGGAATTACTAAATTTTGAGCGATGACGGCTTTTTCACTTTCGAGACCCAACTTATTTTTGAATCACTTGATGCTTACAGCCCCCAGCTCTTCTTCGTCTGATTTCTTGGCTTTCGTTGCCATTTTCACTGCTGCTGCCACTTTTCTCACCTCCTACAATTGTGGATAGAAGTATCTGGTTTATCTGTGAGTTCTCAAGTTTTACATCAAAATTATGTGACTTTCAGCTTTTCTCAATTCTGTTTTTCCAGGCTCTCTGTTCGTGCCATATTCTTTACTATCAATAGCTTATGAATCAACTTTCACACTGTGCTTCATTCCACTTTTATTGATGTTCCTTCGATTTGAGTTCAGCCATTTGTCCGACGTTGAATTTCTTCATCTTCCTGCCGACCAATCTCTAGATGCTGGTACTTTCTGATTAGCTTGCGAAAGCTTATATAAACGGTTATCAGTATTTTTTTTGTTTGCAGCTTGTACTTCGCGATCAAGCAGAGTCACAGGCGCTGAATTGAGACGAGCGGTGATTTGTGTCAGCTTTGTATTGGCTACGATATTTGGAACTGGGAATTTTGCATCGATGAACTCATTTAATCCGTCAACTCTCAGTCGTTATATATCTGTTTTTAGGTGAGTTTTTTATCATTGTTGTTTTTGAAGCTTTAAAGTGTTGTTAATTGCAGCCCATTCATTATGGCTACGTTACTGGTTTTGAAAATATTCATACCGCTATTGATGATAGCGCTGCTCTTCGCAGCGGTTCTACGGTTTAATCACGAAGCCATCCAACGACTTTCGTGCCTGGTGCTTATTATTACCGATCTCATGGCTATGGTAAGTTTTTGAACCAATTTGTTCGCTATTCTTTTCGTTTCTGCTCTTCCTTCGGAATTGCCGAATCTCCTAAAATGTAAGCTTTGAAAATGTCTAGTCAGTCAATGATTTCAGTGCTTTTTTCATCAACTCAAGGATGACGGCAGTTGGTTAGACATTGGTTTGAGTATATCCCAGTATTTAATATCAATGTGTATGTCTGTTGCTGTTCTGCTATTACTATTATGTGCTAGTACTCTAATGACAACCACATTGTCCCGGTATAATATCGAGAAAATTAAAAAAGTGTTGAAAGGTGAACGAAATGATTGCCTTTTGTGAACGTGTCTTTCATCTCATGTGATGTAGATAGCTTTACTGAAAAATTTGACTAGTCTTCAGTCGCAGGTCTTTCGCATTGCATTGCCTTTTAATAAATGCTCATTCCATTGCATCAATAATAGAGCTAATTAGCTTGTTCATTGGGAATAATAAATATTTATTAAATTGTTGAATCTAATAGAATGACATAAAGCATAATCACATAATGATAAACTAAAAACTGATGTATTTAAGTGAAGCAAATAACTGAATTAGAGTAGCAGTTCCAAGCAGTGGTTGAGAGCATCAAAGGCGACTTCGGTCGGAGAATACACGTATTATTGATCCGAGACCAAAACGAGCAACTAACTAAAATATATAAGATCAGTATATGTCGAAATTTTTCCTGATAATGAGGTGAGGGGAACTGTTTACTCTCTTAGAGATGTGGGAAAGATTGCGAGGTAAAGTAAGATGAACCCCGAATATTGTCATGTTACTTATATACAGATCGAA